TGAGTAGTCCATTTTAGGCTTTTTTACATTCTATTATTCAATAACAGGTGTTAACCACTTTGTAATCCTTAGCAACTAACTCCTGGCAATTAACAACTATTTACTGTCTGCCTGAAGCCATTTTCAGGGACAAAATGTTGATGTACTTTCATTCATAAAGCTGTAATATCACAGTAAATGCGAAGCAGAATTCTGCCAACTGTCTTAGTTGTTTTGTCAATATGATCAGTCCATACATCAGACTGTGTTTCCATTCTGAATGCTTCCTTCTATTTGTTACTCCACTACTGTGGCTACCAAACATATTTTGTCTGACTCAGCACCTCACACACTATTTCTGCATCAGTTAAATTGCATATATCGCTTTCTTTCCTGTGGTTGCTATTGGTAACAGAGCAATAACATTGATCAGCTGGCTCATTTAAATACACAGTGACATTTATGCATTGCTTTCCATGATTCATATACAGTTCTCTGTGGGCATGTAGATGGACGAACATGAGGTGGAGCCTTGCAGTTACAGGTGTGATTTATCCGGAAGAATGTGCTTTTTTATTTATTTGTGTATGTTTTAAAAATCTGTAAAATCCTTTGTGCTTTTTGAGTTCTGTATTTATGCACACTTTTAGTATAGATCCCAAGCAAGCTTTGATATATGAGACTCAGGCCTATGCCTAATCTACATAGGTCCCAGTTTTATTAATTCATAATTCATAAGAATAAGAAGGCCTGGCTCCAATATAAACACTTTAAAACTTGACTGAAAATTTCAGTTACCAGATTAGTGTATTTCTGTCTTCTAGGGAAGTGTTTCATTGTTTAAAGAGAAAAAGACTGAGTTACAGTAATTGTTCAAAGTGCCAAAAGTAATGTGTTTGAAGAGTCCAGGTGAGTTTTAAACTACTGCACTTACAGCCAAGTATGGTAGCAATAGGAAGACCATGTATATCAAAAAATAGTGAATGAAAACATAATTCTTCTGTAAGAACCACTTTTTGGGGATGAAAATATTTTTAATTGTTGTTACAAATACTGTTGTAACATATAAATCAGTATTACAGATCTTTTATTTCAGCATGTCCAGAACAAGGAAGAGAAACACTGCAAGAGTGTTCCTATATATTTGGAAGAAAACAACAGACGTACAGTAAGCACTGCTGATTGGCTGTCTCCAGTGTTCACAGACATTTTTAATACCTCACTGCTGACATGTCACATCCCAACCTGCTTCAAATCCTCCCTATTATCCCTGTTCCCAGGAAGCTGAGGTCCACTTGATGACTTTAGACCCCTCGCCTTGACCTCTGTGGTTATGAAGTCCTTTGGCGCATTGTGCTTTCATACCTGAAAGAGATCACTGACCCCCTACAGTTTGCCTACAGAGCCAACAGGTCT